AAGATCCATGAATATACACCAAACACATATATCATGTACATAACCAATAACAAACTCAACATCATCACCATATAATATACGAATAAACAATATACTACAGTTCATGAAGCATCACTAATTTCATACTAAACATATAATCCAAAACAAAATAAGTTGTCAGAAAACCATATTGGTGTTTAGACTGACATTCAACTCAAAGCCTTTGTAATATGAAGTGTTTTTAACACCTTCATTTTCTCCCACTCAATGCAGACAACCTATCACTCAACAAAAGCATTAAAAAGTTATAGACATGCGATAAGTGATACTCAACTATACAAAGTCAACCATTTACAACAACAATAGCTGAACAATGAATGAATAAATAATGTTTAAGACTAAAATAAAAATGCTTTCAAAACCTTGTACTGAATGTCATGGTAGCATAATTCAACGCCATATAGAAAAACAACTCCAAAATTGCGAATTGGAAAACATTCACATTTTTTTCAAAATAAAATAATAAAAAGTATACACATCAATTCATTAACATAGCTATTTTTATAGGATCGAAAACAAACATTAAAGTCAAAATAAAAATTCGTTAATCATTTCCAAATGCTAACATATCACTTAATATATAATACATGGTATTATTCAATAAATATTAGTAAGCAATAAAAGGAATTAAACATTAAAATTTTGCACAAGAAAGATTGATTTATGTTAGTTCTTTTCTACCACTTGGAGGTACTGGATTATTCTATTTCACATTCAATAAAGTTTGTTTTCTTTGTGTCACCTTGTTTTAAGAAAAATAAAAGCAATACTATTAATTACGTTGTACTTTATATCTAAATATAAATTTTATATGAAATAGAAATATTAAAACACTTATATTAACTACAATGGAGTGATTACTTTTTTTAAAGGGTAAATTTAGTATATATTTTTCATCAATATACTTATTCATTATTAAAAGTGAGATTTATTTATTATTAAAAGCGAAATCTATTTATATTATACAATTAAAATAAAATTATTTCTTAAAATATTTATATACTAAAAATAAATAACCATGAGTTGGGAAAACAGTGAACTATAATAGAAGTTGTGAAAAAGAAAAATGTACACTAAACTGAATTGACGAAGAGAATTATAATGAGCATTACTATCATCAACAGTTCCGTGATGATAACAAAAAGTAACAAAAATACACCAATAATTTTACATTATTTTTTATAGAAAAAAATTGCCCCTATTTCTTCCGCGAATGTTGCATACAGCACTTTCCAATTAAATTCAAATCATGCTTAATTTGAATTAACTTGATTATTCGATTAATAATTTCTAACTTTTAGATTAATAAGTATATTAGATATCTGAGAACTTGATTTGTCTTTTTTTATCTATTTATATGTTTTATATCGTGTCTTAATTCTTTAATAAGTAAAAATTAAAAATATATGTAGAAGTTCTAAATAACTTCCTGTTAAGCACCGATTTCATTTATATTAAAATTTCATTAAAAAATAAAAGAAAAAGAAAAATACGAAAGGTTATACTAAATTTATGATAAAACTATACAGACAAAAAAAAATCTTATTTCATATTTTAAACGACATATAAAAAAACAAATTTGTCAACGTAGTGAAAACTTTATCATTACCAAATCTTCTAATTTTCACACGATGTTTAATTATACCCTTTAATTTATGTTTTAGTTTGATTATATTTATTATACTTCTGGTAAAATATTTTAAATGAAAATTATAGAAAAAGAAATCATTATTAACTAGTAAAGAAAAAAACTTCTCATTAATGTAAAATTAATTATTTGTATAGAATATATAGAAAATGAAAATAAAAAACTGAAACGGTGTGTTTTCATCTTAATTTTTTTCTTAATGGAAAAACCAGTTTTTCCTAGTGGGAACTGTAGGAGCATCAATTCGGATTCTGGTTGTGGATTGTTTTCACTTTGTATCCATACAAATTAATGTCGTTTTCTTGTTTGTTGACACTCAGATTCTCTCACTGCTCTTTCGTTAAGTGGGTCGTGTCGAAGTTAAACTTTTCTTCCCCTTTCGTTCTGTTTCCCCTGTTTTTGTCTTGCTTCAACTCTGGTAAGGTTCCTCCGAAGTTTCCGTTTTTGGAGGGTTGTAGGAGTTGCGTTGTGATTTAGAAGTCAATGGGTCAAATGGGTTTCTTCCAGGTTTTTCTAATTCCTTGAAGTTTCGATTCAATTTTTGTTTTCAGCTTTTCTTATTGGGTCTGTGTCACCAACGTACCTGAGAGAGCATAAAGAGTGTTTTTATTGATGGATACGAAGTCATCCAAGGATACTAATGGTTGTGTTAACAAGCCTATGGCTCTTACTGTGACGTTGACTGTGGCTTCTTTAGAGGGTAGAAAGGTTGAAGATCATAGCAATAGAGAAGATGATAATGATTCCAATTCTTTGTTGCCAGCGCCAAGAGGAGGAATGTCACGGAAATTGGATAAGACTTACAGGAAAAGGAAAGTGCAGTGGAACGATAGGATAGGAAATAAGCTTGTTGAGGTTTTGGAATACGTACCAAGGTAATTAACTAACTTGTGCCGCGTGTGTGCTGAATTTTGCTCGCCTAGTTCACACACTCACATCACGTCTTGTGAATAAATATATATATGTGTTGCTCAATTCTGTTCTATGTTGATGAAAAACGTTGAAATGGTTTTCTGTTTCCTTTTTTCTGTGCAAATGGAAAATTTCATGCTAGTCCCTTTGAATTTTGTTATTGTGTGACTGATGGATGCAATGGTGGATCACTGAATTACTATGTTGTCTTGCTTTCTTTTTCTTTCTCCTTTTTTGTTCCATGTCCTCTATTATTATATCAGGATGACTTCATTATGGAAGCATCAATGTGATTAATTGTGTAGTTTTCCCTTTAAGAATCATTTTTTCATGTTTATTGTAAGGCATTCCTGCTGCTCCCATAATTTCCCTGCTAATTTTCCATCAAGTTCTCTGACTGTAATATTCTCTTTTTTGGATTCATTTACGTTTTCTTTCAGTGTTTTTCACTTTGTTCTTTCTCCGTGTGTTTCATGAAAATGCTAAATTTCTTATTGTCCTCTGAAAAAGCCCAGGGAAGTAACTTTGTTCCTTTCTTTATTTTCAGCACCCGAGCATGAACATTTGCAATTAGAATTACGTAACTATAGCATTTTGCTATGTCTACAATGACTAGTGCTCAATTTTGAAACATCAGAGTTTGTTATAATGATTGAAACCATACCCATCCTCCGTCATGTTTGTGCTTTCTAGCGCATATAATAAGACAAATATTAGGGATAGAAAAAATTTAGTTATTATCTACGTAGAAACAGCAACGGAAATCGCTTCTTCCATTAGAATGGATGAAGTGCGAGCAGAAATTAGCACAAGAAAGAAATTTCGAGAAATGTTCTTGTTTTATGGCTTCGAAAGTATGTCATACTAGCCCCGGGACTCCAATCAACGAAGAACTTATGAAATAAAATTGCTCTTATTCATCTTTCTTTCCTTGATCTACATAAACATGTGATTATATATGTAGTTAGTTCAGAGGTTAACACTGATAGGAGCTGCTCCCAAGTACGCTGTTGGAAAAAAGTAAAGAAAAGTACAAAACAATAACCAAAATTTTCTTTCCTGGTAGCTGGTAAGTTCGAAGCATTAGCTGTCATATTTTAATGTAGTGAAACAAAATTGAGTATGATAATCAAGCCTAGATGTGTCATTTATCCATAACTATCTTATCTCACATTTGGTCTCCCAATTGTATATGTGCAGTGATGTTAGTGACTCAGACTCAGAGGATGAGGGTGGGGATTCTTGTGTCTGTTCAATAATGTAGAGATAATCTTGATAAGCCATGTCAAACTTTCTGCTGGACTAACCATGGAGCATCATTTGGGCCTGCGCAACCTTACTTTGAGTAGATATGATGACTTGGGACTAACTCTCCAGTAACCCGGATACGCAGCTTGTGTTCCAATTTATGTATCCAGTTTATCTTACTGGATTTTTTGACATGATTTTTCAGTGGCCTTATGCGAGTTCTCTAGCAGATCAAAGTACACACTGCCTTCCAACAAAATTATTTGGAAAGCGCTGATAGTAGCACAGCTTCCTTGTAGGTTACTAAGCATTTTCATGCTAAGTCACGACACTGTTTCTCTGAAAATTGTGCACTCAATGGCTATGGTAATGTTCAGAATTAAAGGGATACATCAGTCTTTTTTTCCTTTCATATATTCTCAAATACTTATGTGGAGCAAATTTTCATGATTCTCAGAATTTGTTCCCCAATTATGTGTCTAAAGGGTTCTTTGATTCTGTTTGCTTTCAATTTACCTTTTACATATCAACCCCTGTTGCTTATACATGAACCTCTTGATTGATTGAAATATCACTTTGGAGAATGTCATAACGAATACAATGTATACTATGAGCATGAAATTCAGAATAGCTGCAACATGAAGATAAAAATAGACAAATACACTCTCCATGGCTTACAACGTAACCATTCACAAAACAACAAAATACAGGGCAAGAATTAGACACACAAATACAATCAAACCATCCCAACTGGCATATACTGATTTGCTGAATGAATAATCATGAGAAGAATCAAAATCTGATGCCTCCTCCTTTGAAGTTGTTACCCATTCTGGTGGCAAAAAAAGGCTATTGTAGTCCACAGAATTGATATATTTTAAGTTTCTTTTTTTTTTCTTTCAATGGCATGACCATCATTGGCAATGAATTGTGGTCGAGGAGACATGAATATTAGGAGAAACCAACCAGTTTGAGAGGCTAGCATCAACTGCCATGTCTGGCAACAGAGGCTTGGACTGAAGTGCATTTGATTCCAAACTGCAAGGTGAGAAATTCAAGCTTGCTTCAGGAACCAAGGGCATACTTGTTTGTTGATTTGATGGAACATTTTCCTTCCTCCTGTGCTTGCTCGATGCTGCAACTTTTGTTTTGATCGCTTTCCACTGCGTGAGATTCTCCACAGGACTCAGAACAGAATGCATGTCCATGCTTCTCTCTCGTCCACCTAAATTAGATTTCCGCTCAGCATGATTTGGATCAACCGGCATCTGATTCTTTACCTTATCTTCTGCCATAGAACGATAGCATGACTCTGACAACTCCTTCTGTCTAGGATTTTCATCATATATCTCAGACTCGCCATTTTCTAAACTTTCATCACTGCCACCTTCATCCCAATCATACTCATCATCGTCAAATTCACCATCATCATCATAGTCATCAATGTCAGAATCCTCATATGCTATGTCATCCTCCTCACCATGACCATCTCCACAGNTTGAAGTTGTTACCCATTCTGGTGGCAAAAAAAGGCTATTGTAGTCCACAGAATTGATATATTTTAAGTTTCTTTTTTTTTTCTTTCAATGGCATGACCATCATTGGCAATGAATTGTGGTCGAGGAGACATGAATATTAGGAGAAACCAACCAGTTTGAGAGGCTAGCATCAACTGCCATGTCTGGCAACAGAGGCTTGGACTGAAGTGCATTTGATTCCAAACTGCAAGGTGAGAAATTCAAGCTTGCTTCAGGAACCAAGGGCATACTTGTTTGTTGATTTGATGGAACATTTTCCTTCCTCCTGTGCTTGCTCGATGCTGCAACTTTTGTTTTGATCGCTTTCCACTGCGTGAGATTCTCCACAGGACTCAGAACAGAATGCATGTCCATGCTTCTCTCTCGTCCACCTAAATTAGATTTCCGCTCAGCATGATTTGGATCAACTGGCATCTGATTCTTTACCTTATCTTCTGCCATAGAACGATAGCATGACTCTGACAACTCCTTCTGTCTAGGATTTTCATCATATATCTCAGACTCGCCATTTTCTAAACTTTCATCACTGCCACCTTCATCCCAATCATACTCATCATCTTCAAATTCACCATCATCATCATAGTCATCAATGTCAGAATCCTCATATGCTATGTCATCCTCCTCACCATGACCATCTCCACAGTTGTAATATCTATGATTTGTCGGGTATATCACTGGCAAGGCTCTAGAACTCTCCGACTCAGCAGTATTGTTCTTATCCTCTTCTTCTTCATTATTCAATACCTGATAAGCAGTGGGGTTTGGCTCATATACCTGTACATTCAAATTGAAGGTAACTTTCTTCTTCCTGCTCCTATTACTGATCTGCTCCTTGACTTCATCTCTGCCTCTAAGATACAAATTAAATAGTTAGTTTATCTTATCGGCACATACACATGACATATAAAGGGAAATGAGGAGCAATAAATACTAACCGGAAATCAGATTCCGGCAAAGTGGATTTTTCCGTTATGGCAAGAACTTGGTAATCTCCATATCGCTGTTAGATAACACAATTATTTTCAAAGTTTGAACCGATAAGTACGAAGAATTTATACGAATGAGAAATTAAGAAGAAAGGAATGTATTGTACTTACTTGATTTCCAGCTAATACTTTGTAGAGAGTCTTTCTACGCTTCCTTTTGTTGGATAAACCAAAACATGCCATGAAACAACCCATCTCTATTGGGGAGAGGAGGAGGGTGAGGAATGTTGTTGATAAGGTGGCATATAATGAACCAAAGCTACTCACTCAGAAACCGACATGCATGCCACCCAGAGAGAGAAGCGAGAGAAAAACATGTGACAAGTTTAAAAGCCGTTTGGCTCCAAACAATTTCGAAAATAGTAACGTTAGGCTTTTAATGATGATTGTGGGCACAAGAGTTGTTTTTTTCTTTTTTTTTTTTTTCTTTTACAGTATAAAAATGAAAATGAAAGCTAGGGACAACATTGGTTGCTTTTGTCTCAGATCTGAAAAATCTTTCCCTCTCCAACGTTTGACTAGTTGTCGTTTTATTAGAGTTTATGCGTTGCTATAGCCACGAAATAAATCAGATTGGGTTGTTGTGAATACCTGAAGCTTTCGATTTTAGATTTAAAAATAATTCAAGAGAGAAAAAGTAAACAAAAAATCATTTATAACAGTTATAATTAATAACACTATTTCCTTTTGAACTACGTTGCATCTTAATTAACATTATAAGCTTCTTTACAATAATGTTTTATTTGATTATTAAAAAACCATCACATTGACTATAAATAAAATCCAATTTTTAAATAATTACACTCCACTGTAATATTTTTTTATTTAATTACTCTCATCATTCTCTTAAATTTATTATATATTTAAAAAAAAATTGGGACTGAGGAGTGCCTAGGGAATATAAATAAGAGTCCTTCCGGATAAGTTTCAAAGAATTATTAGGCATGCAAAATAATTGAGAACAGTTTATGAAAATATTAGGAAGAAATATTTAAAATGATATATAAAATATATATCTACACACAATTAATTCCTAAAATGAATTAAAGCCTCGAAAAGATGTACTGAAAGGAAAACCGATTACTAATGTATGAAAATTAATTTAAACATAAAATAGAGACTTTGAGAATTTAAGAATGACATGAGTAATTATTTATGAGTAATACGATAAGAATTTATATAACTCTTAAAAGAACGTACTTTAATTTAATTTGATTAATTACTTTGATGTTATTTATTTGAAAATGCATGAATTGCCTTATTTATATATTAAAGCAAATGGAAGCGGGATCTCCCTATTTAAAGCAAAATGTGCACATTTGTGAGGATACTTTTTTACTCAGTTTTCTATTTTTTTCTCACTGTCGATTCATGGATTAAGAATGAAAAGAAAATATAAATAAATTATAATAGTTTGTTTTTTATTTTAGAAACAAATAACTTCTTTAAAATACTAATTTTATTTTCGAATTTATGACTTTTATGGTTATTTGTTCTTTAGAAAAATCATGTTATTAGTTGATTAAGATAGTTTAAATTTATTCTTTATCAAAGTAAGTATTTAATTTATTATGCTAGTCTTTATTTGATCTATTCTTTTTTTTTTCCTTGATATTTTAAGGGGAATTGTGACAACAATTTGGTAAAGGGGAAATGCAAATACTGTAGGGGTTGGAAGCTTTTTGTAGCTCGATTTGAATTTTGATGATGTTTTAGAAGAGTCGACAATATATTATTTAGATATGTGAAACGTAATATTAGTTCGATTGATGTGAACTTTTTTGTATGTGATAGTCATATTAGAAATTTGGTATTTATGAAATTAACTCGTGTTAAATTCATATATATTAATTTTGAGTTGTAGTAGTTTATAAAGGTTATTGAATGGAAAATTGGGAGTTTGAACAATAAAAACGTAACATAAATGATAATAAGACTTTTATAATAATATCTCTAATAACGGAATGTGGTAAATTTATTGCTCAACTATTAAGTTATCATTTGTCACTCAAATCAACATCAACACTTGAAACTATAACTTAAACTTAAGTTTGGGAGATACTAAGGTCATTTTTTTCTCCATTTGAATGCTTTTCATTTGTGAATTATTTTTCTAACATTAAAGGAAAAGTGGTACGAAATATTTTTAAAACTTCTTCTATTATAAAAAAGTCACATTGTTCAAAATGTGACACTTAAACATTACAAGACAAATAAAAGCTATTTAGAAAAAATGACTCTGCATGTAGTTATATTGTGTTGTGATGCATATATGTCTATTATATATATATATATATATATATATATATATATATATATATATATATATATGACTATGAAGATAATGATATAATGAATGTTATATATGTGAATTATAATATACATAATGTTGTATATTATATATGGATATTTTGTATGATATTTATGGTTTATGTGGTCATGAATGTTAATATATACTCGATATGATATTATGAACCTTTTATAGTTGTGTGATAAAAAAATATCTCAAATAATATTGAGTACTAAAAGTCGCACTATTAATTCATCTTAAAAATTCATTATTTTGTTTGTGATTATGTAATTGGGTTTGGTAGATTAACTTTTATATGTTCATATAAACTTGAAAGCAACATTGTATGTAGTTGATGTTGGTCAAATTGAGAATTTAATAGTTGAAAATGAACAATTTAAACTTATTGTAAGCTGAAAAATGATTTATAAAAGCTTAGTTTTAGTTTTTGAAAGTTTTACATAATGAATTTTTTTTCACTTTCAAAAATTTCCTAAGTGAATTTTGTATAAATAACAATCACGAGTTTGAATATCCTTTTAATTTGATCAAATAGCTCCTTTTCAATCG